GAGAGAGGTGAAAGCTAAAGGGAATAGAGAGGTTGCTTTATACTACACCTCACGTAAGGTGTACTTTGATAAACGACAATAGATCTTTTGCTTTGGATTGTACATTTTCATGCACATTAAATATAGGCCATGGGCCAATTTGCTTTCAACCATGATTAAGTATAGTACTCCCTCGTATTTTTATTATTTGTCGTTTTGAAAAGCAACACGCTAATTAAGAACTTTTTTTCTTGCCAATATTAATCATATTTAATGGATGTTATGAGAAACTATGAAGATGAAATATGAAGAGACAATGTGCATTGATGGAGGGTTGAAAATGAAAAATATGAATAAAATAGCCAAAACGACATTTATTTAATCAATAAAGATAGGAGGGAGTAAATGATTTTAAATGATATCAATTAATACATGTTATGCAAATTGCAAAGAATATATAGCTACACTATGTTATAATATTACAAGCAACATCAAAATCACAAATGATGTTGTTAGATGTCTAATTGTGAGACAATTATACTTTCTATATATAAAAAAAAAAAAAAGTGCATATATATACTTACATTTATATTATACTTATGTTTATCTTTTACTATAAAGTATTATATTTGAGTATTAAAATGATCATGTGTATAAACTGCTGGAAGATATGCATTTAATCAGTTGATTTAGGAAAATTTCATGCATAATAATATTCCCAGTTACTTGAACCACTCTTAGTGGTCACAAATTAAGTTTACTTTGTACCAAAAAAAATAAAAAAATAACATTAAGTTTACTGTTTTGGTCACTATCTTATGAAATTGATGGAGAATATTATGAAAGTGACCAAAAACATCAAGCTAGCTATGAGGATGAGGCTTTAATTTGGGAATAAATGCTCAAAATTAGGGTACATGTACTACCTCCATTTATAGATAGAGATGACTTACACATTTAGATAACACATTTTATTTTTTTTTATTTATTTATTTACTTATTTTTTTGTAAATGAGTATGGGAGAATCAGATACTTCATTTGATTGGTGAAGATGTCTTTGCTCCGAATTTTGTTCTCAGAGAGGCTAATAGAAATTGCTTTGAAATAATGGGGAGAACACAACAATAGTAATACGCGCGGGGAGATTCTATTCCGTTGAGATTTATAACCGTTAGATCAACTATTCACGACGGTCAGATGATGATCTTACGGCTACAAATCGCGACGGAATAATTCCGTAACGAAACTGTAGCATTTCCCAATAATACCTACTGATATCGATAACAAATAAAAAAATAAAAAAAATGTTATCCTCTTTAAGCATTCAACTGGATTATGTTGTCTTAAAACCAAGAAATATTTGGTGGCAACATATATTGAGCAGCCCACCCACTCACCCATCAAAGGACATACATAAAATACATCTGAGATCTCAATTGTATTTTATTTTCTGGTTCACTTTGTAAAATACTGAAAAATCAGATTAAAAAAAAAAAAAAGGTGTGCCTTATTCTCTGATCAATAAAGTTGTTATTATTCTTTTGATTGCCAGTGACAAGTGAAAGAACCGAATTTCTAGGCAACTATGTAATGAAAATTTGCTCTTAACCTCTTACCAGTTTACAAGGCCTCTGTTTTTTTATTTTTTATTTTATCTACTTATTTTTTTTATTATTTTTTTTTTTTTGGCTCAATCGAATATGGTTCGAGTACAGTTCTTAAAAGAATAATCAGCTGTCGATTTCTATTTCGATTTCACCCCATCGATGTTGGTCGTCTTACAACCGTCAGATCAGACACACACCACAGTTTCCCATATCAGATGTTGAACACAAGCTCAAAAAGCTTCATACAAATAATACTAGTCCAGCAAGATTAAAAGTAATGGTATAAAACAAAAAAATTTCTCAAAAGAAAAAATAAAAATCATCACTACATTGTGGAACATATGGATATGATACAACTGAATTCTACATATTGCTATAGCAGTAGAGAATCAAAACTGACCACCAAGATATAAAAGAGGGAAAAATATTATAAAAAAATAAAAATAAAAAAATATTTGTACAGTCGAGTAAAAATTATATAGAAATCAATTCTTTCTCGGGGTTTTGGGTCGACTCTTCATGCTTGCCCGTCTAGCTACATCCCATGCCTTCTGGGGCACATACACCCCGGCTTGTGATGCAAAAAACGACTCATAGCCAGGTGAATCGAAAGCAAAGCCAGTGTGTTTCGATTTCTGGCCCGGAAGTTGCATTATGGCATAACTTCGGGCCTCGTCTGGGCTGAGCTCATTGTTCCCGATTTCCAGTAAGCCAATCCGGCTGTTGTCGATTTCGTGCCTGTGGATTTCCTGCACGATTTGATAATCGTACGGGAAAAACCAGCGCTGGACCCTGAAAAAACCCAATTTAGACACATAAAACCGACTAGCAAGTTAAAAATTCGTATTATCAGGTCGAATACTCTAGTTACTGTTTTGATTCAGGACACCATTTCTATATGAGAGAGAGAGAGAGATTTTGATTGATTTCATCAATTCCAGACCGGAACAAGAAATGATATCCCTTACACCACGATTTTGAATCAGAAAAGAGATTTCAAGAAAAGGCAATCTATTCACTATATCAATAACCGAGCCGGATCTGGGGTATCATAAGGGATTTGTCTTTTCCATTGAATCCTATGGATTGGATAAAAAAAATTCTTGAACCAGGCCAGGGATGAATTAAAAAAGAAATCTTTATTAGTTCTACCTCCGATTTTTTTATTTTTATGAAGAAAGTGATTTTTTTTTTGTCTTTTGAGAGCGAGAGAGAGAGAGTTACCCCATGTATACAAAGTCACAAAAGAGTGCAGCAACTGGGACCAGCAGAAGAGTGAAGTAGAAATAGACGGTACTCATCAGCACATAAATAACAAAAAAGATGTTTTCCTGCAGAAAACGCAAAGATTAAACAGAAACTCTGCATTTGATTTGCTTAGTTAAACAGCTTTTTTTTTTTTCTTTTTTTGGCAAGATAACTTAAAGTATACCTGCTCTTTCGGTAACACGATGCCCGAGTAAATGAAGACAAAAACGAACCAGGCCAATATGCTGCCTCCTATGCTGATGTAATGCCACCTGGTAATAGTGTTGCACATCATGAGGAGTCGCAAATTCACGGTCACAACTACGGTGGTGAAGCCCATTGTACTAACGTCCCAGAGGCCAAACATCTTGCCAGCCGAATTCATGGCCCGGTTGCTCGAGGCCACAACAAAGTAGTACATAACGAGTGACTGATAAATTGCGAAGAAAGCCCAAGTCGCCACCACTCTCCATCTGAAAAATGCGTTACGTATTCCTTCCTTGTACAGTTCGGGGTATTTTTTGGACAGTGTGGCATTCACATCCTATGATTACATTTTTTTATTTTTTTATTTTTTTCGTTGAAGGAAAAAAATAAACTAAATCACAGAGTATAAGGGTGCAAATGATATGCTTCCATTTTTTAAACATTTAGTTGGAAAAAACTTTTGGAGAGGTACAAATACTCGAAATAAGAAAAATCATGGATGAATTCGTGTTCGGAAATATTGGCAAATGGTGAGTGAGTAAGTGTCTTTGAGTAGTGTTTCACTAATGATATTTGAGAGAGAGAGTTGGTAAGAGAAATTCGGATTCTTTGTAGGACCCAAGTAAGTACCTTGTCGAAAAGTCCAATAATGATGACAGGCAGGGCTGTGAAAATAACATTATACAGCGACTGAAACCAATCGTCATAAAACCTTTGGCCAGAAAATCCAGTTTGGAAGGTGAACCAAAATTGAGTGAGCGTGAACATCAAGTTCTTGTAGAAAAAGTACGTCACAACCTGCGTGAAAGTTTGAGAGAGCCAATAATTATCTGGCAGAAACATATTCTGAGCCCATCAGACGACAAAAAAAAAGCCTTGAAAAAAAAAACCTTGCATATTCTATGATAAGACCAACGTCCATGCACTAGGAGTAACTCGGTCAAAAAGCGGAACTGTGCAATTGCAAAATCACTGGCCATTACAGCTTGCATGCCTTCCTGCCCGCTAATCCCTACACCAACATGCGCAGCCTGAATCATGCTGACATCATTAGCCCCATCACCAATACTTAGGGTTATCCTGTTTGCACCTTTCTTAACGAGGCTTGTAACCTGAAATCAACATATAGTGATTCAGTCACAAATACACGTGTCGGGTCAATACGGACAGCTATGAAAATTTTGATTACGTTAGAGACCATAGGAGATTGTTCATAATTTGGCTCCATTATTTCAGGAACCATAGATATTCAACAGAAAGATCAACAAATAGCATAATACTTTGGTATATCCTCTTTTCTTTTCTTTTTCTTTAACCTTGGGTCTTCATATAATATGGACCTCAACCCCAACACAATTTAATATTTACTTGCATCAATGCAATTCTAGGGCCTATCTAGAACTTCCAGTTCTATTCAGACATTCGATAATGGTATGAACTTGAAAAGGAAGCCACAAAAAACTTTTTCGGTAGTAGGTGTTTAGTGAAATAAAAAGTAAAAGATCAAAAGACATAAACAAGCCATAAACTTAAAGTGGCATTGATAAGTCGAAAAATGTGCACGTTTTATATATTCAATAGTGTATTTTTATACACTTAATTTATCCGCACGTTTATATTTTTTGGCTTATTTATTATTTGGATGGATACATACACATTGATATTTTTGTATTTATTTTCAGCTCATTAGAGTATTTTATGGATGCAAAGCATGAGACGGAAGTTCACGTTATCAATTATCGCCTCCGCCGATATCAGCTTGAATTTCAATAAAAGTCCAGGCCGTTGATTATTAACCCACTCTGGGCCCAAAATCTCAACCCAAGTTTAGGACATTTACAAAAAGAAAAGCAGCCAGGATTTTTGTTGGGGGTAATTAATTGTTTGGAAAGACAATTGAGGGAATTTCTTTTTGGCAAGAGATTAATCGAAGAGTTCGAATTTCTTGGGAGACTGGGACATTGTTTTGTGGACTTATTTGCTGGGCAGAAGACACACGCAAGGAGAGCGGATTTTAGAGGAACAGAAGCCGAAAAAGAAAAGCAGCAGGAAAGAAAGAGAGCCGCACGCGAGGAGAAAAATACACACGCGGAGGGAAGCCGCAATCGCACGAGAGGATAATTCTATTCTCTCTTTTATCTTTTATTTATTTTTCTTAGTATGCTAGGCTAGATTTTTATCCAGTTTGAGGGGATGTTTGAACCCTAACATGAATTTGTCTATGAATTTGAGGATTTATATTTATCGTTGATTAATCTAGACGCCGTATTTATTTTTGTGGATGAGTTGATTCATGTTATCTGTTTATATTTCTTATGAATTATGGGTGTTTGATTTAGTTTGGCCAGCTAGGTTGAATATTCATAGTTCAACTGCTAGATTCGAGGTTTTAATCCGTAATTGTTATTGTTCTCGTTTCGTTAGTAGTAAACTAGGGGTCGTGCATCCTTAGGGTAACATGAGCATAAGTTAAATGGTCCGAGCTTGTGCGTCCATTGCTTAGATCAATCTATTTTCCTAGTAATTAATGCTGCTAGTGCATTAAATCTAGAGAGCTTATTCTAGGTTGTCCACTAGTTAGGTTTAGTCGAAGAGCTTATTTCGATTAAATAATCGGTAAGGGAAAATTCGGTTAACAGAGCTTGTTGTTAGCTAGGGTTGGTAATTCATTAGCAATTTAAAGAAAGCGTCGAGATTAATTAGCGGTAGATTTAGATTGGTTGATAACTGAACCGAAAACTGGATTTCTCTTATTTATTTGATTTTTATTTTATTATTTTTATTTTTAGTTTTATAAACCAGTCCCCCCCTCCCCTTTATTGCTTTCTTAGTTTAGTTAAATTAATACGAAAATTGTCACGACTTAATTCCTACTTCTCGTGGGATCGACCCTTGCTCGCCACTACTACTAACTTGGTTAGTCAAGGTAATTTATAAATTTTAATTTGCCGCGTCGCGACGCGCGGTCAGGCATGTCCATATGAAGACAAGGATTCAGCTGCCTTAATATACACTAGATTTTGAGCCACATACATGAACATGTACGAACAAGATTAAACATCCTAAATCCACCTTAGGAAACTTTACCTGTGCTTTCTGTAATGGGGAAACTCGGCAGCAAACAACTGCACTGCAATTCAAGCTCAAATTCAGTAGCATTACTCGTAAACTCGGGTCTAGCGCAAACATCAAACACTTCCCATCAATTACAAGTGCCAACTTAGGTCTGGACGCGGAACGAAGATACTCTTGTGCTTCCTCAAAACATTTTTTCAGTTCATTTTTTACCGTCTCCTTCATAAAGCGAGCTAGCTCGACTTGGTCGCCCTGATATTCAGGCAACAGTACGCTAAGAGGAAAGAAACAAGATTTGTGTATCCCACATTTAGATGGGTTTATAGGATCTCACCTTATCTTCAACTTCTCGAATAGCATCAGTTTCGGAGCTGATTATAAATTGCTTCATGTTGTTATTTATTAACTTGCAAGCTGCATTAAGCAGAAACATATATATAAGAAATTACAGCAGCAGGCATTATTATTACATAAAGTAAAAAAAAAAAATCACTGGTGTTCCTACCATAAGCGATATTTATAGCTGTCTCCATCTTGTCCCCGGTTAGCACCCAAATTTTTATTCCAGCTCGAGCGAGGGTCTCTATACATGCAGGTACTCCCTCCTGAAGCTTGTCTTCGATAGCAGTACATCCAATCAAAATAAGCTCCTTCTCGATTAGTTCCGCAACCTGTTACATTTTATATGTTGGGCTATCTAAAAGTAAATTCTACTGATAACAAGTGTAACTTGACTAATGGAGACGA